TATATGTGTCCATATCTGCACAGTTGAATGACTTGAATAGTTGAATGAGAAAGTTTTAATATTGACTCTTTTGAAGATTGATGAAAACTTACAAAGAATGATAATTTTCCTGTCGTTAATATAAGCCTCTATTACCTGTCTATAGCTTTCCTGTGATTTTGAGAGCTATTTATCATTATTCTTAATCAGTGACAATGGAGGGGACAGTTTTACTTTAAAAAAGGAGAATGCATATGTTATTGCCTAAGTGACATTTTAGCAAACGAATATTTTATGAGGTAACCAGCTTTCCTTACTATCAATTATTATTTCTCAAATTAATTCTTTCTGATTTCGTAATTTATGGCATTGGAACTAAATTTTCTGTTTTAGATCATTAAAAAAGTAAAAAAACCCACCAATATATACATTATCAAAAATTAATGTCATTAGTTACTTACGCAAAACATTGATTGCTATTGTACATTTTGGACTGGTGATGCCAATGTTTTATATTAAATACTCATCTTTTCCTCTGAAGGCTATAAATTCTTTCTCTCTTCTCATGCATATTCTTGCTATAAGACTGGAAACATGCTAGCTGAATTGGTGGATGTGAGCATCCTGACCTAAAGTCATTGTAGAGCGGTCATCAATTTTGAAGAAGTATCAAAATTGGCCAATAGCATCAGCCAATTAAATTTTACCTTTAAAAATGTAATTAATTCTCAGCCATTTTATACCTATACAGTTTACCCAGGAATACTGTGTAGAGAGCAGATACATTCTAAACAGGATCTTAACTGAGTAGGCAGCCAGAGAACTATTTCAAGAACTGTATTTATTTGTTCTCTGATAGGTGATTGATCAAATATTTCATAAAATATAGGTGGTGTTATATTTCTGAAATGACTCTCACAATTAGGACTGCCAGGATGTCTTATAAGGACTACATGTGGGTGAAAAGGCTATGGATTATCAACAGTGATAGGACTTGGGAGTTCCTAATTGGAGAGACCATATTCTGGGCCACAGTGACCTTGCATTGTATGGATCACTTTTCCTGATATCTGAGCCCAAATATGACCATTGAGAACTAAAGAGATTGATTTATTTTATTTAAATGGTTGATTATACAAGTTGTGTGTTCAGTTATTAGATTGTTTTGGCTGGTTTCCATGCTTAGAGAGATCTTCATGGTCGAAATATTTCAGTGCCTAGAAGTTCTTTCCACACTAAAGAATTAGATGTAATTCATACTCTGCTGGGGAAGGCTGTATGTGGCATCATTATCATTGCCTTGGATGTCATTGAGGAAACTCTGTCCTAAAAATAACAGTGAAAAATTCAGGCTTCTGGAGATAGTTCTTTAATTTTTTTAAAATTTATTTTACACATCAATCACAGTTTCCCCTCCTCCTCTTCTGCCATTCCCTACTCCCCCTCATTTCTACTCCCCCCCCATTCACTCCTCAGAAAGGGTAAGTCTTTCCATAGTGAGTCAACAAAGACTGGCATATTGAGTTAAAGCAGGACCAAGCTCCTCCCTGCTGCATCAAGATTTAGCAAAGATCCCACTATAGAGAATAGGTTCCAAAAAGTCAGCTCATGGGCAGAACCTTGACTGTTTGCTAGTTCTTACAGAACTCTTTATTTTGTTCCTGGAACTTGGGAATTTCCTAGGAGTCCTTTATTTAGGTTCGTACAGAAAAGACCTAAGATGTCTCTTAAAAGGAGGGCCTGGATTTGGGGTATTACTTTCCAACAAGGCCAGCTTGGAATTCTGTCTTAGTTAAGGTTACTATTGCAGTGATGAAACACCACAGCCAAAGCAAAATGGGGAGGAAAGGGTTTACTTGGCTTACTTGACCACATCATGGTTCATTACTGAAGAAATTCAGGACAGAAACTCAAGAAGGGTAGGAACATGTAGGCAGAAGCTATGCAGAGGACACTGAGAACTACTTACTGATTCAATCCTCATGACCAGTTCAGCCTGCTTTATTATAGAACCCAGAACCACAAGCCCAGGGGTGGCCTCATCCACAATGAACGTGGGACCTCTTCCATCAATCACTAATTCAGATAATGTCACACAGACTTGCCTACAGCCAGAGCTTATGGAACAATTTTCACAGTTGAGGCTCCTTCTGCTCTTGTGGATCTAGCTTGTGTCAAGTTGACATAAAATGAACCAGAACAAACTAGATCACAAAGTTTCCATCTTGCTGTGGCACAGAGATAATTTGTGATATTTTATTGACAAAGAGTGTCATTTGGCGAAGTCCATATGGAGGTATAAAGGATGTCATAGGTCTTCTATTGATCCATATTTGTTGATTTATTTACATTTATGGAACATTGGAGACTAAAGCCAGGATTTCATGAATGTTAGCACTCTAACAGTGAACTTCACCTAAAGCCCAATAAATTTGTTCCATTCTGACACAGGTGCACCTGTGAAGCCTAGAGTATTTTTCTTCAGAAGCCTGAGATGAAGTAATCTCCATTCAAAATGAAATTTGAGAAAAATGTGTCCCTGGAATGCTGTGGCACACCTTACTAAATACTTGGGAAATTTGCATGATTGTCAGGGATGTTCTTGCTATTCCTTGTTTCACTATTTCTGTGTTCATAGGATAGCTCAACAGTACTCTATATGAGGGAAATGCCTTTGATAAAATGAATTTCTTGATGATAAAAACTCTTGTATTTGGGGAAATACTTATAAATTAGTATATATGGGAGTCTATATGAAGGTGCCACTAGCCTATGTGAGATCACGGTGAGAAAGATCGTTAAGCATGCGAGCTTCATGAGACAATTTTTGCATCTTGTTTTAAAGTCTTTAAAGAAACAATACGGTTTTGGCCTGGAAACAAAGTTTCTGGCACATGAGAATTTAAAAATAAGTCAGGACACCAGATATCATGCAGCCAAAGAGATCTGCCTCAGAAACAGGAGTTTTAAAATAAAGGCATCTTGAGACTCTTCATACCTTTCCATCTATCACCATCACTTCCTAAAGCGAAAATTCCTGCCATTAGTACTTGTAGGATGTCAAGAATATTAAATCCAACCTCATGAAGAGTCGTATCCTGGGTGCCAATCATGGTCTGTGATCATTAATTAAATGGATTAGTTTTATTTTCTTCAAAGTAGCTACTGTTTATGATTTACTTTTGAAATGATTTTTTTAAAAAAATGCACATCCATTTTCCACTTCAGAAACATGGAAACTATAAATGTAAAAAAATAGAAAGAAAAAATATAATTCTGTCACAAAAGGCCACAAAGTAATTTTTTTATTTCATCTGATATTGTTTGAAGTCATGTTTGGATACTTTGGTATATTTCTCTTATTGCTGCTTTTGTAGTCATTGCTACTACCAAATTTATTTCTCACTGTTTACTGAGCATAATTTTGTATTGTCACTAGACTTCACATATAAAACTGTTACATGTTTTTAAACTCTTCTTAAAAATGGCATCTTACAGATGGTACAATGGAAATTCAGAAAAGCAAGAAACATTTTAGAGCTGGTCAGGCTATCTGAATACCTAACTATGTGTAACTTCAATGTTTATTATTTTTATGAAAATTCATTACACATATATTTACACTAAAACAATTCTGCACAGTGCCTTTTCAATAAAATATCATAGCTTTCCCTATGCCTCTGTTACTATGTATTTTAATATTTTAAATGAGATTATAATATAATTACATATTTCCTCCCACCCCTCCAATATTTGTTTCTCCCAAATTCATTTTGAATTGCAGCATAACCATCCATTTTCAGAGTTTTTCATAGAAATGAAGTTGTAAATATTTCTAATTAATGTACATCTTTTTAACGTTTAAACCCAAATCATTGTGACTCACAGTGTGTGAAGATCAGGCCTAGTAGACTTAGCCTAACTGGGAAGTCACACAGAAATGGAGGTGAGGGCTGATAATTCAGTCAGTAGTCCCTATTACAGGCTATTTCTCTGAGAATGTGAGTTCTCCAAGTCAGTGTGAACAAAGGCCAGTTTGTGTTCACATTTTAACAATTCAAGTCTTTCAATACAAAATTCTAAATGTGCTGCTTCACATGTACTGCCAAGGACTCAGCTTTCATTAAACCTAGTTTCTGACTTACAGTATGATTGCTTCCTCCTTGACAATATACCATTGCTGTCTCTGGTTTTTATACCCATAGTAAGTAGTGTGGAACTTCTTATCCCTCAGAGAATAAAATTATCACACTTTTTAAAAGTTCTGCCAAACTTTACTGATAACCACTGAATCCCAATTACAAAACTTGTTTATATCTTTCCTACTGAGTATCTGTATTTAATTCTAAATCATATGTTTTTTTGAATATCTTGTTCAACATAGTTTTATCTGTCTCATTAGTCTAAATGAAGATGCTCAGAGAAATGTTGTTTTCCTCAGAAGGAAGACATTCAGATGAAAGGTTGTCACATTTCTGCCAGTTATTTGAAGAAGCTAATTAGGAATCTGTTCCTTAAAACTCTCCAGCTAGACTATGTCTTGAGCACCCATACCATAACTGGCATTAACAATAGAAGTATGGTGTACACAAGACAGCAAATTAAAAACATAAAGCCTCATAGATGATGCCTGTAAAAGATTGTTAATTTTATTTTATAATGTATAAAGAGTAAAAATTCTTTCTTTTATGATTTTGTAAGCTTTATTTGCATCTATTCTTAGACCAAATTATACATTTTAATTTAATATGTGTTCATTGGGTTTTCCCACAGTCTTTGTAGATTAAAACATTGTAAAACAAATTGAAACTTTATACTTGTTGTGTTTTGGTCACTTACTAGATGATAGTGTGCTTAAAGGAAAATTTCTTGTTCTCTCTCTGCTGTCATGATGATTTGTTTTCATGCCTTTCAAGAAGATTCTTTTATTGTGTGCCAGAACACTGCAAGGCTCCACTGAGCCTCAAGAACCATGAAAAGCTGGTCATATGTGTCAGTAACTCCTCCCTCTCTTGCCTTAGGTCAAAGGATCTCATAAAGGAGGCCATCCTTGACAATGACTTCATGAAGAACTTGGAGCTGTCACAGATTCAGGAGATTGTGGATTGCATGTACCCTGTGGAATATGGCAAAGACAGCTGCATCATCAAGGAAGGAGACGTGGGATCACTGGTGTATGTCATGGAAGGTATGGGTAGTAACCTCCTCTACCAATCATTCCTCTTCAATCTTCCCAGCTTCACAAGGATTGCAATGTATTCTGTGGAGCAATGCCTGTCTTCCTTCCTTCATTGGGAAAAAATGCAGGACATCACTATGTATTGTGATTCTTCCCACCAGCCTGGTCCTAGTTCTGTGTCAACCCCAAATAACACACAGAGACTCTATTAGTTACATTACTGTCGGCCAATGTCAAGAGCTTTTCATAGGCTAGTTCTGCCTTAAGTATTAACCCATAATAAATAATATATATTTTTATAAGGACTTATCTTTCTGAAGACATCCTCCTGACATGTCCTTTCCTCCCTGGAGATCACATGGTGACCCTCTACTCCTGACTACACTTCCCAGGATCCTCTTCAACTCCTAGTCCCACCTATCTTGGTTCCCTATTGGCCAACAGTGCTTTATTTACATATATACAGAAGTACTTCCCCCATCACCACCAGGTACCATGGTTGTCTGATTAGATGAAGTTTTGTTGTTTAGAATATTAATATAAAGATTCTATATGTTTTCACAGCTATAGAGTCAATAGTGTGAATACAACACTGTCTATTGACTGAACGAGACTGTGCACAATTGCACTGTTGAACATGCTGAAAACACAAGGAAATGGAAAGTCTTTTAGATCAGATAATTAGTGCCTTCAACTCTACCGTTAATATTTAACACATGACTAAGTTTCCTGTTATTGATTCTTTAGGATAAAGATGATGTTTTCAGTCACATATATTTCACAGAGACAATGAAGACTGAATGGCATATTAGCCGTCTATAAACAGGGATAATACGTTTCACAAAACCTTCAGAAACTGAGATAGAAATTGCTTTGATAAATAACTTATCCATTTACTAAGTAGATATGTTTTATGCCTCAGTAAATTTTAATAAGGATTGTTTCTAACTTGGAATTTATAACAGTATATTTTACCTTTGTGAGAACATTCTTAGAATCTGTCTGAAATAATTGACAAGAAAGTGAGCCCAGAAAATGCATGTACTAAATGTTCTATTTGGTTTGGTACATATGGCCAGTCTTCAGTCCAGAGCATTTATGTTGAGTGATTCATGACTCCCATAGTCACTTTCAAATTTTAGGTCGTTAAGATAAAATGTGTTCTGGGGCAATTCATATTTTCTCTGAGTTTCAATAACCCAGTTTGTAAAATTGGAGATCCTCATGGCAGTGTCTGAAGGTGTCATTAGTTACCACAACTGAAAAAGTTTGAAAAAGCTAATTGTTTTAATAGGGAAGGTTGGGAAAGTTTCTCATCAAGATAAAGCCCAAAACAGAATTTTTGACCAAAAAGTATTATTGTTACTAACATTGATAATGTCTGAACTTTTTTTGCCTATTTTACAAAATTGTAAGGAAGCTAAATAAGATAATTTATATGAATATTTGATGTAAAGAATAACACATAATAAAATAATAATGTTTTATTTGCTTCTATTAGGTACTTTAAAGTATACTTAAATGTTAAGTGTGCCTCTATGCATTACCTTTTAAATTTTTATTTGTAGTGTTCTAGAATATTCAGTTCTTACATAGTAGGGTCTGTCATCTTTCCTTTTAATGTTTTCACAATTTCCTACATTATAAGCCTCTGCTCAAGGCTGAAGAGATATAAATATTCAGCTAAGGTTTCTCCTGACTAAACCAAAACACAGTAAGCACAAATATAAATATGCACTTGGAAAACAATTGTAAGTATAGGAATGGGTTTATAGGGTAGGCATGTTGAGAGACAGTGAGCAGGGAGGACAGGAAAAATGGGAAGAAATGAATAAGAGCCAAGTACAGATTATGAAACTAGAAGCATTCTGCTAGGAATAATTAAAATTAGGCATCACATTAAATGTGTCAATGGTGTCATATTATTTGATAGTCAGACATTGTGCTAGTAGGATATCTATGTATAACATAGTTATCATATAAAGCAAGATGCACTTTTAGTTTGATTGTCTTCCAATTGTAACCAATAGCATTCCACTGCAGTAATAAAATTTCAAAACTTGGCTTAAGTTTTTCTTCATCTTGAATATTTCTTAAAAATTAGATTTCCATACAACCTTACAAATAGAAAAACACACTACAATTTCATCTCATCCCTTTCAAAATATAAGGGTTTTACCTTTAGCTATATGACTTATTGAATGCCTAGAACAATGTCTACCATACTCAGCATGCTCAACAGTTTTCATATATAGAACCGTCATGGATATTGTACTTATGCTATTGATTGTCTTAAATAAACTCAATAAAAGTACCATAGTCCTCTAAACAGATGCCAGCCTTTCTCTAAACAGAAGCTAAAATCCACTCAATATAACTTTCGTTGAACTTGTGCTTTTATCTTTCTGTCAAAATGTTTTAAAATGAAAAACTCTGCCATTAAATTTTTACAAATTTTAATTGAGGAAATGTCTTATTGCATAATTAGGTTTCTTAAGCCAACACATTCAATCTTCTCAAAGCTTATGCAGCAATGTTCTTGATATAGAAGGGTTCCTTTCATCTGTGAACATTAATATGTATAAAGAGTATATCCTGCTGCATTCAATGAATTGGCTCTGAAGGATCTTTCACAAGTTTACAATCAAGACGTTCATGAAAACACTCAGGGAATTGACAAAAAAAAGAAGCTTAATTTTCAGGTTTCTTTGCAGAGAAATAATGCTTGAAGACACTTACAACCCAGTAAAAGTATCACTATTGTTTGTGATAGTATAGGTTTAAAGATAAAAAACACTGCCTAAGGTTCCTTCGACATCTCAAATATATAAATGATTTACCATGTATTTTATAGTTTATTTTCATAAAGAAATAAACACTGATATGATTTATGATATACTATCTGTAATACTCATTGTCTTCTTTTTATCATAAAGGTAAACCTTGGTTTACCTTCATTTACAATAAATTTTTGATTTAACAATAGAGAACACAAGAGATATATTACTCTTTAGGGTTCTAACATGATAGTCAAGTAGTGGGAATTGCTAAGTTTTACCCTGCTTAAGTGTCTGATTTGCTTAGAGATGGTTTTGTACAACTTTGTGGTTTTCCCTGTGATAGAAGATTGCTCTTTGTTTTAATCACAAGGCTGCTTAGAGTTTTGGTGGAATTGTGGCATTTTATGAGATATTTGCTAATGACAATAACTTATTTAAGTGCTCCCTTGTCATATACTTCTTAGTCACTTGCTAATTATTAAACTTTCTGTCTTCATAATGAATGATTCTATGAGATATTATACCTATGTCTTCATAGATAGAAAAGCTGATGATTAGGTATGGTAGATCACTTGGGATAAAATTATTCCACAAGTATATTGAAATATGAAGTTGAGCCATGGTATTCCCATACCAAGTACTCAGTAATGCTAATTTTCCAAGAACGGTTTTGAAATACAAGAACATGTTTATTATGAATATCCCAATTTATTCACTCATAAAAAATGAACAGTATCAAACTATACTATGAAAAACGATACTATTGCAAGAAGGCAAATGCCTGCCAAGGCTGAGTAGCCACTGATCGTCATGAAAGCACCTTGGAGACACCTTTTCAGATCTTCTGTCATTCAGGCTCCCTGGTGAGCCCTGAACACTCGGCTGTGAGCTAAATTCTCTACAGACTATCTGGAATTAATGTGTCTCCTCCTTCGTTCTTCTCTTCTCACTAAAGGAATTTATGATTTGTCATAATTCTTAGTTCACCACCATGTGCTTCCTGTTTAGGATTAAATGCTTTGAACAGTGGTAACCCCATTTTTCTGCCTAAAGTCAATGACATCGATTTTATTTTCTCACATTTAAATTTTAAAAAAGTCTCAAGAGCCACTTCTTGGTTTATGACAGAAAGAATTATTGGAATGGACTTACACCCTATCCTTAAACAGTATCTGATTATCCGTAGCAGTTTTCACAGGGTGAGCTCACTTGATTTGATGCCTTTATGTTAAATTCACAGATGCAGGTCTGCATATGCTACATATTCTCACAACTATTTATTATTTTCATGCTGGCCATCCTCCGTAGTAAGCTTACATACTTCCTACTATAACTGCTAGTCCCCTAAAATTTTTTTATTCTCTGCATGGAATTAAATGACAAGAATACTGACATTCAAAGAGGGATTTTATATAAAACTGGACATTAATGGTAAGTTTCTCTTTAAGTTAGCATTCAAAATGCTTGCTGAGTGTATGAAGGAGTTGAATACATTTTCATATCAAACAGTTCTTAATAAACATAGCAAGATAAACAAACCATTTTATTTGCTAACATCAGGTGTTGCCTTTTTGCCTTAGTTTTCATAATCACCCAGAAGCTATCTTTCTTTAAAACAGTTGAAATACGTTATTTTTTATAATTACTTTAGGGAGCCACACTTGTAATATTTATGCAAAAGACCATGTTTAAGAACTCCTAATACCAAAGCAAAATGAAACATATATTTATGAGTGCTTATAAACATGGAGATTCTCAAATGCCAAATGTACATTTTTTAAATAATACTTCAGATGTGGTAGCAGAGTTGAAGACAGTGAGCTGAGGTACTTATATTCATATGTAATAAGGATCATGTTCTCAGGTGTACCAAATACAAACGAGCTTTAAATATGCTGGAGTACATTCAGGAATTATAACATACACTTAGAAAAACTGGCAATATTTGCCTATATGTAGAAAGTTTGGGAAGAAAAAATATAACTTCTTAAATACATAAACTGCTCTCATATGGAAATGGAATTATTTTGCATGAATCTAGATCACTAAAGGAAACATACAAGCTACAATGAAGTTTAAATTGAGTCAGCTGGAGAATCAATAATCTACTAATTAAAATGTTCCAAAAGTGAAATGAGGAGCTTTCTGTGGCGGCGAGAACCCATCTCTGGAGGCATTTTAGCAGTGATTATGTAGCACCTGCTAAGAGAAGCTGTGTGGGTGGAAAAG